TGGTTTTTTAGCAGAGAAGTAAAACTGTCGTAAATACTGGGAAATTTTTTTTAGTTCCCCCCCCCTTTTTTTTCTAGAAAAAATTATATATGTAAATTTTTCCTCGTGCACAGTAGACAAACATGTAGTAGTCCCCCGGTGGGAAAGCGGTAAGTTTTCGGATTTACAACGCTAAAATCAGGGGTTCGATTCCCGTCGGGGGATACAACAGATAGTCCGATGTGGCTTTGCTAGAAGAAAACACACACGCGCCATGCAGTTTCAAGGAAGCAGTTTATAAACGTTACAATAGTGTCTCCTGGCGGGAATATTTTTCCCCATGTAAATGTGGTAGATTTTTTTTCCACTCAACTCGTTACATATCAATAAAGCACGTGCCGAATTTTTACTGTTTTCGTTGATGGATCTTGAGATATTCGACCTTGATAATAACGCAGTATGTTTCATCTAACAGCTCATCATTTTTACTATAAAAATATTATTGAAACAAAATAGTTCGTGATTAGAGAGAGAGAGAAAAACAACAATTGTGATTTACAGTAATATAGAATTATACAATTTAAAAGTTGTCAGTAAAACATCGTGTCAAAATGACTAAACAATTTCAATTGAACTTCAAGTAAATCCATCTTGCGGGAAAAAGAAATCCTAAACAACGTACGTCTTCTAGCATTTCAGTGACGTAATTCAGCCAGAATCGAAACTTCAATTATTGGGAAATAAATGTAGGGGGTGAGACATATTTTATAGTTACGCCACTGTATGTATGTATGTCTGTCTCGTTACAGAGTGGCACATTCCAAAATTATTTTTCATATTTTATATGCCAGGCTAGCTTGTTAGGCCTAGTCGAAATGTGTGCTATCGTTGGCGGGAAAAACGTCGCTAGGTGCTCGGGAATCTTCGGCATTTAAGTATAATATCAATCATGGTTTTCTGCTGTGATTTCTAAAGATACCAATTGGAAATTTGGAACATTGTTAAATAGTTTGTTTGTTTGTTTTGAATTTTGCGCAAAGCTACACGAGGGCTATCTGCGCTAGTCATCACCACCCACCCCAAACCCTTGGGCTACTCTTTTACCAACGAATAGTGGGATGGACCGTCATATTATAACGCCCCCCACGGCTGAAAGGGCGAGCATGCTTGGTGGGACGGGGATTCGAACCTGCGACCCCACAGATTGCGAGTCGAGCTCCCTAAACACCTGGTCATGCCGGCCCTTGTTAAATAGAATAGGGGCACGGGTCCAGTGTGTCAGCACCTACTGACACGTCTGGAACTTGGCGGGTTCTTTGGATTATTAGGTAAAAATTATGCGAGTGTTGGATATACAAGTGTAAGAGTTATTATTTAGTTCATTTAGTGATCTAATATTTAATGATCATTAAGTTTCCATAACAAGAGTGTTTAATGTTAACTATTTTAAAGAAGATAGTTATGACAAATTTCGTTACGTAACCTGGGAAGAGTCGTATGTTGTGTGTGTAGTTCAATTGTTGTACTTTGACGTCACATTACTCGAATATTCTGTATTTTTCTCATTGCCTTAAGTGAGTATTGTTACATCATAGCGTCTCTGAGTTTGTAGAAAGTTCGAGGCCTCAGTTGCAACTGATGGTCCGGCACCTCCTTTAATTGATACAAAATTACGAGAGCAGACTTGAAATTCCCGCGAGACTACTTCACTGGGCGGCCACAGATGGCATTGTGTGTAGTGCTGGCTCTTTCAGGACAGCCTACTTACATTTTAAGTAGGTATGTCACTCTCGTGAAAATTGCTTGAATTTTTTCATGAATGTTGCCAAGAATATGTAGTTTAACGAGATACAAATATTTAGCTTCGATTTTTTCTTCAATTTTTTATAACACAGAATGTTGATAATAGTGTATGAAAATTCAAAATATAACGTACTTGAAAATAACAATAATAATAACAGTAAAAATTCTAAAATGTGCCACTTTGGAAGCGGTACTACTGCAACATTCTTTGTAACTATAATAATTAATAAACATTTTTCATTTATACTGTACTAATAAACCTGTATCATTTATACTGTACTAATATATTTCATTAATTATTTAATTCACATTTAATTTACATGTAATATTTATTTTATTTAACTTTATAGCAGTCCATGGTGCTTTAGAGACACGGGAGGGGTATAATTAGTGGGTCAGGAGTGTATTGTTGAATTATTATTACATAAATTCTGTTGGTCCGGCAAGCCCCCCAGTAGCACAGCGGTATGTCTGCGGACTTACAACGCTAGAATCCGGGTTTTGATACCCGTGGTGGGCAGAGCACA